GGACATGGCTTATGTACACATTTGGGGTCATTTTTCTTGATCTCCCCATAAAAACTGTTCTCATGTTTTGTATTTGGCCAGAGTCATTTATGTCAGTGCAGAAAGCAGTGTTAATGAACACATAGAAGCCTCCTCGTGAAATAGTTGGTTTACAGCTACACACTTTGGTTCAGCTGCTAAGGCCAGAGAATTAGCATCTGTCTGGAAATTTTGCCAAGAATCTAGGGTTGCATTTCAAACGCAGCCACTTTGGCTAATGCTGGACACGGGCTTACTTTACAACCACACAGGTCAGTTTCTCTGCCATTTGCACAAGTGCACAGGCAGGCATGTACGTGCACATACAGACACGCACGTGTACATGCATACAGCAGTGTGCTGGTCGGTTTAACCACTGGCTCTCTAGGACTATAAAGCCCTGATTCATAGCGTTTGCCAATTTCCGTGGTGTAAATACTCCCACTGTGGCCCATCTGACTACCCACGCAAGGGTGCCGAACATGGATTTGGAAAGGGAGGCACACGGTGACCCTCCGGGGCTGGCGGGAGCCGGCTCCAGCACCAGAGACGGTCCTTTGTGGCTCGGTCTCCTCTCTGCTTCCAGGCGGTGCCCCTGGGCTCGACCTGGGTGGGGAGGAAGCTGGGAGGGAGCCAGCCTTCCTCGGCCTCTTTCTCGCCCAGGCAGTGGGGAACTGCCTGCTGCTATTAGAACAAGTAGATCTCTGTCACTTGACATCAAAACGGGACCTGTTTGGTGCGGCACTGCCCTGCCTTGCAGCTGGGGGGTGTTCTGTCCGTTCCCTGTGGAAAGCAGGGATACTTGGTGGTGGGGGCTGGGGCCTCATGGTACAGAATGCGGCCAGCGGAAGTAGCAGCAGCTGTGGCCAACACCCAGCACTCTGCACTGTGGCTCAGAATCCTCGCAGAGGTCGGGGGTGGGGACTGGGTGAGTGGCACCTGTCTGGGTGCTCTTTGGCCCGGCCAGGTGGTCAGATCAAAGTTACCTGCTCAGACTTCTCCTGGGGACATGCCTGGGAGCCCCAGGCCACATTCAAAAGGACCTTGAATGTGGGGACTAGAACCCGCCCGGCGACATCTCTGGGAAACTGTATGCACTGTTCTGGGGGAGCCGTGGAGATTCTGAGACGGGGTTAGAGGCAAAGCAGTTTGGCGTAAGAAGCACAGTCTGGGCTGGCAGTGAGGAGGGAGAGTGTGTGGTCAGCAATGCTTAGCCAGCCTGGGCCCCCTCTCTGTCCCCTCATGCTTCTGTGGAGTCACCAAGGGCCGGGTCACCATCGGCAGACTGGCAAGGTGGCCTGGTCAGGAGTGGGCCTTTGTGCGGCTTGGTAGGGTGGCCTCCGGCCATCCACAGGTGCCCAGAGAGGTGACCATTGTCCAGAGGGTGGAGTAGCAGAGTGCGCGCATGGGGCTGACGTCACCTGCTGGCTGTGTGACCTCGGTGTGTCCCTTTAGGTCCCTGTACTTCCCTCCCCTTTGTGGGGCCGTCACGTGTCGGAGCAGGCCCGGAGGAGCCAGGTGGGCAGGCACAGAGCAGGTGGTCGGGGGACGGGCTAGTCAGCAGGGTGACACCAGGAGCTCTCCACACGGTGGGCCAGGCAGGGCTGTTACGGTTGAATTGTGTCCCCTGAAAAGATGAAGTCCTCACCCCCTGCCCCCTATCGCGCACGTGACCTTATTTGTAGTAGGACGGCTATGTTTACGTGAGATCATGCGGACGGCTCCTAACCCAGTGTGCCTGTGTCCTTATGAAAAGGGAACAGTGGGGTACAGATGCGCGTGCGGGGAGAGGGTCCACGTGCGGATGGAGGCAGAGATCGGGGTGATGAGTCTTCGGCCAGGGAATGTCCCAGAACCTCACCGGCAAACCGCGCGGGGGCGGGGCCAGGGGGAAGAAGCAATGACGGGAGGTGACAGCGATCGACAGGCCGTCACCAGAGGCTGGGCAGGAGCCCTGGGAGAGAGTGTGTCTCACAGCCCCAGGAGGAAGCAGCCTGGCTGGCACCTTGCTCTTGGACTTCCAGCCTCCAGAGCTGGCAGAGAATGCATTTCCGTTGTCTAAACTATGGGGTCTGTGGTGCTGTGTGATGGCCGCCCCCCCGCCCCCGAAGCTAAGACCGTGTCCCAATGGGCATAGTGGGGGGTGGGGTCTGTGGTGCTGTGTGATGGCCGCCCCCCCCCCAAAGCTAAGACCGTGTCCCAATGGGCAGAGTAGGGAGACCTGAGCTTTTGCTGAACAAGGGGAGGCGTGATGACATGGTTTTAACAGAGGCACTGTCACACTGGCTGCTATGGGGTGGGGCGGGGGGGTTGCGGACCAAGGTGATATCGGTGTGTGCAGCGAGACATGGCCACGCCCTGCTTGTGAGGCCACAGCTGGCACTTTGCTGGTGACCCGGTGTGGAGGGTGAGGGCGGTCGAGGCTGACTCCCGGGGCGCGGGCCCACATGTGGGGAAGGTGCGGGAAGGACTGGCCCGGTGGAGACCAAGCCGAGTTGGAGATGCAGCTGCCAGCCGATGGGGCTGGCCACGGGCCACTGGATGTCCGCGCTGGAATCTGCAGCGGAGGTCCCAAAAGCCAGGGAGCCGCCAGCACAGAGACAGAGCCAGGAGGCTGGGCGAGGCCAACAAGGGAATTGAGGAGAAGATGGCCTGAGGCAGAGGCCTGGGGCCCCCCAGCACTCGGCGACTGAGCAGAAGAGAAGCGAGAGCAGGCACTGTGACCACGGGCCGGCCAGCCGGGAACAAGGGCTCTGCAGCCCCGCCCCCAGCAGGCCCCCCGGGGCGCCAGTGGACACTGTATTGGACCCCAATGGCCACAGCCGGTTCCCCAGGGGCGGGCTCCTGCACAGGCCCGGAGCAAGGACACGGGGGTTCTGGCTCCCCAGAGTGGTCGCTCTCTTGAGGACATGGATGAAGTAAGCTGTGGGGTGGCTGTGGGCCTTCGTGGGCCACGCTGCCTGGGAAGCAGAGAAATCAGGAGGTATCGATGTGCCCACGGCCCCACATGGCACCTGCCTGGGGGGGTTGTCACTGGCCACCATCAGTCCTGGTCCTAATAGCTGTGCCGGCCACCTCCCGGGGAGGGGGTCAGCAGGCGAGCAGGATCACGCACAGAGGGCACCCATGAGCTGCCCTCTCCCTCCGTCCCTCAGGGTGGGGCGGGGGCAGGACCCTGGTTTCCGGCCTCTCCAACACCCCCTCCCGTGCCCCAGGTGCTCCCAGGGGACCCTCCCTCTGCCGGACGCAAGGAAGCAAAGACCACAGGGCTCCGAAAGCATCACTCGAGTTTAATGCGTGGCACAGAGGGGACTACATGGGCAGAAGACGAGCACTGTTCTCTAGCCTCACTATCCGCTGGACGGGCCTCCCGGTCCAGAAGCTAAGTCTCAAGACACGTCGGCAGCTACCCCTCCCGGGTCCAGCCTTTCATATCCTCCCATTCCGCTTTTTTTAAAAATGTAATTCAACCCATCCAAGAAGAAAGCAAACCAACAAAAAGGAACCTCACGACACTTACACGGCGAGCCACGCGGCAGTGCATAATGGCATCCGGAGTAACCAATATATAAGGTGTGTGTCTCACAGTTCGCTTTGTTCATCGATAAAAGAATATAAAAATCTTGTTCAACCCAGTGTTAAGTGTATTAAAATAGATCTGTATCGTACAGCACAGTTTCTCCCGGAGTCGTGAAAATGACAGGAGGGACCACGGCAGTCTGGGTTCCGGCCGGCCCCCCTGCTCTGCACCTGTCTGCATGTGTGTGCGTGCGTGCGTCTGGGGCCGTGTGTGCACACGCACGCGTGTGTTCGATGCAGTTCGGCACCATGTGATATGCTGGGGGTGGCAGCCCTGTGGCTCCAGGATGCTTATCTGTTGTGCTACGTCCCTCGGGACAGAGAAGCTGGTGGGTGTGACGAGCCGGCACGACTCAGCCCGGGACGTGGGAGCTCATCGAAGACGGCAAGCGCATCCTCAGCTCTCCAGGAGGACCGCATGCAGAGGGACTCTGGAGTCTCCGAAAGTCGATCCCTTCCGCGGCCACCTCCCTCTTCTCCTCCCCTACCCTCACCCCACTTCTTAAAAAACCCCGATGTCCCCAGCCTGGCAGTCCCGAGGAGGGGTTCCCATTCGCACCTTGCGGTAAGCGGGAAAGAAGTCAGTGAGCGTCCCCCTGCACGTTAAACATCTTACAATAAAAACGCCATACAAAAATGCAAAGTTATTTTTTTTGGCATAACGTCTGCACTGGCAAGAAAGGAGGAATGGAATACTTTATCGGCTCTTCGGAAGGAGAAAATAAAAGGCTTCGCTTGTCAGTTGAATGATTCAACCCAAAATGGAAAACCTCCCCTGCATGTCTGCGGCTCCATCTTGCCCAAAACCTCCATAAGGAGAATGAACACATGGACGGCAGAGTCCAAAGGAACGGCAAGAGGAAGGGGGGGCGCGGCGAGGCCGCTCGAGACCTTGGGGGCCGAGGCCCTGGCAGGCGGACGCTGCAGCGTCCCCTCGGATGGCACGTCACACAGAATCTCAAGGTAAACGGCTGCTATTCATAACGCTAATAACACTGACAGACGGGGGGCCCTGGCATTCGGCAAAGGCACGGGGAGTGCCCGGCCCGGGGTGGGCCCCCAGCGAGGGAGGGGCATCGGAGTCCTACCTATATTCTCTACCCACTTCTGTCCCAACTACCTGCTCTACTCAGCTATGTCTGCGTTCTCGGCTCCCTCCCTGGAGGACACTGGACAGGCGTGGTCCTCAGTGCGGGGGGCGGGGCCCTGGCCCCTCTACACCACTGCACCAGGCCGTGGAGACCCTGGGTGCTGGGAGTCGCAGGCCTGGGCATCGCCACCATAGCCGGGCCGACTGTGCCCCGCCTGGCTTCCAGGTGTCCTGTCGGAACGTGAAGGGCTTAGGACTCCATCCCCACCTGTCCCAGCTCTGAGACTGGGGCGGGGGCTCTCACCCAGCTCCTTCTCCCTGCTTTCCTCTGTCTCTTTCTCTCTGGTTTTATGTTTGTCTGAAATTCATAGTGTTTATGAATTAAGGCTGACAGAACCCTCGGGTCTTGTGAGCAGGGTCTCAGTGACTTCTGTGGGTGTGAAGACAGGTCCCTCGGGGTCAATTGTGCCCCTGGGGATGCTGGAGGGCAGAGTGCATGGCTGCTGCTGAGGGCTTGGTCCAGGGCCCAGTCAGCATTGGGGCAGGGCTGGCGGTTGTCATGGTGACCTGGAGCATCTGCTCGCCCTGTATCAGTCTCAGGAGGGCCCGCAGGCGGTCCAAGGACGACTGGGTGCCCCTCTGCCGGGCCAGCAGGCTCGTTTTAAGCTCCAGGCATTTCTGTTAGGGGGAGAGGTCAGAGAGAAGCGTCTCAGAATTCAACCGTGCAGGCATCTTGGGGCAGGCATCCGGGGACAGCCGCCCCTCGGCCCTCTCTCCCAAAGCCCCTCCCGTCCATTGCTGAGGCCGGAAAGAAACCAGGCAGAGGGCCTCACAAAACCCAGGCAGCAACAAAGAATAGAATTAAATGGTAGCCAAGTGCACTGAAGTTTGTTTCCAGACTCGGGGTTAGAAATGGTGTATTGTGCAGGAGGCCGGAGGATTCTCCCCCACGGTGTGATGCTACCTCGCTGACCGAATCCAACCTTCCTGCCCGAGGGAGCTCAGAGCCAGTTCTGGCTCAGCGACGGCGGCTGCACAAATCCTTTACACTGCAGGCAGCTTTTTGCTCTTTCTCTTGCCTGGCGTGCTCTTGTCTTTTTCAAGCCTTTCTATCTATTATGGTACTACAATAAAGCACTGAGGACTGCTGCCTCAAGTTAGAGTTGAAGTTCCTTGCTGCTCAGGCAATTAACTGAAACTCCCTGAGACTGTGTCCAAAATGTACACTAGAAATAATTACCACCGTCATCATCATCACCACCATCACCACCATCACCATCACCATCATCACCACCACCATAATCACCATCATCACCATCATCATCATCACCATCACCATTACCATCGTCATCACCATCACCACCACCACCATAATCACCATCATCACCATCATCATCATCACCATCACCATTACCATCGTCATCACCATCACCACCACCACCATAATCACCATCATCACCATCATCATCATCACCATCACCATTACCATCGTCATCACCATCACCACCACCACCATAATCACCATCATCACCATCATCATCATCACCATCACCATTACCATCGTCATCACCATCACCACCACCACCATAATCACCATCATCACCATCATCATCATCACCATCACCATTACCATCGTCATCACCATCACCACCACCACCATAATCACCATCATCACCATCATCATCATCACCATCACCATTACCATCGTCATCACCATCACCACCACCACCATAATCACCATCATCACCATCATCATCATCACCATCACCATTACCATCGTCATCACCATCACCACCACCACCATAATCACCATCATCACCATCATCATCACCATCACCACCATCATCATCATCGACACCATCACCAGCACCACCAGCACCATTGTTATGTTTATCACCGCCCTACAGAGGAGAAATCGTTATGTTCACTTTATACACGAGGAAACAGGGTCAGAAACAGCCAGGGCTTTGCTCAGGTCACAGGGCTGAGAAGGGGCAGAGCTGGATACTCGATCGCCTGATAACCGTTTGTCGGATGCGTTGCAGAGATGCACCCTCCACCTACTGACTCCCTGAGTGGTGCTGGCGTCTCATCTCCCTCTGAGGCCTCAGCAGCCGGAGGGGGACACTCCGGATCTATGCCTTGCAGTGCGAAGGGCAGCATGCCCCCCGCCCCCTCCCAGCGCACCTTCACCGCCGAGGCCAGGCGCCGGTCCCGCTCCTGCAGCTGCTGGTGCTCGCTCTGCAGCTCGCTGCCTCTCTGCAGCAGCTTCTGCTTCTCCTCTTCTTTGACTAGGAAAGAGAGGGCCAGGTCAGCAGTGGTGGGGCTGTGGGTGAGCAGGAAGGGCAGGAAGCCACCGAGGCCTATGCCTGCAAGCTGTTCCAGAGCCAGGGGCCCTGTTGGATGCACGAGGCCTAGAACACCATCCTGCCGTCGTAACGGCCTTGCAGTGAGGACCAGTCCCAAGGCCCCTCTTCTCAGAGTTGTGGCCCAGACAGCCTCTGATGGGCCCAGAGTGAGTCCAGAGGCCTAGGGGTGGAGCTGGAGACAAGGGTGCCCTCTCCCACTCCCCAAGGAAGTCCTACCTGTCTTGTGGGTGACATAGGAGTGCACGATGGCCAGCATCCCGGTCCAGGGCACACCATCGTCTTTCTTTAAGGCCTGGAGGGCAGAGGGGAAATGAGGAGGCAGACAGGCTGGGCCCCGCTGGGCCCTGGCTGCGTCACCCTGAGGGGCGCACGAGCTCTCTGCGCCAGTCTCTCAGCTGGGACCGGGGGACCCGCCTCGTGGCCTGGCTCACAGAGCCTGCCCCCCACGGACAGCAGCTCGACGAGGGCAGGGACGTACTTGCCGCCAGGGCTCCAAACATGTCCTGGGGGCCTGGGAACAGCCAGGGACACAACGGGGACCCAATGAGGACGCGCCACCTTGCTGAAGTGGGGAACAGTGGGGACCCCAGGCAGTCAGCATGCAGGGCTGGCAGCCCCCACAGGAGACAGCCCCACAGCGACACACAGCCCCCGACACCCACCTCTCCCTCGGTTCCCACAAAACCCGGGATGGAAGAACTCACCAGAGTTAGTGTTTTTTAAAATAAAGATAACTCTGATTTTATGAGTAAGACACTCTGTGAGCAGCAGACTGTAAAAAGAGCATCTCCGGTCCCAGCGCCCAGCCACTCAGCGTGAAACCCGGAAGCATTTTTCCCCCAGGTTTTTATTCTGCAGTTTTTCTTAAACAGCCAAAGATCAAACTATACAGCAGCTATAAAGCCTAGTTTTTATTTTTACTTTTTTAAACTTAACTCCATAGGGTGAACAAGTTCCAAAGAATCACAAAACCTTTGTCGAAAATTATTTTCAATGATCACATAATAACTCATTGAGTGCAATTTATTTCACCCTCTCTTACTGCTGGGAAATTAGGATGTTTCTATTTTCTCCCTTTTATAAATCAAGGCTGAGAAGCTTTTCTGTGCACAGAATTTAATCTGTATTTGGATTATTTCCTTAGACTATATCTCCCAAAGCAAAGTCCGAGTTTAAGAGGCATACACATTTTTCAGTCTCTTCACAAAACACTGCAGTGTGCCAGAGTACCTGTCTCGCAGCATCATCACCAGGAGGGAGTGTTATTGCTTTTGCTAATTTGATAAGTTTTCATTGTGTCATTACTAGTTTTGTGGTTTGCATTATTAGTCCAGTTCTTCCTGGGGGGGGGATTTGGAGATCAGAGGCGGAGTCACTAAGTCAGACAGCTACAGAGGGACACTTCTGCTCAGCCCACAGCAGTGGTCTTCAACTGGCAACGTCTGAGAGGGCCATTATGGGGCATGCTACAGGCACCTAGTGAGGATGCTGCTAAAACCCTACAGTGCACAGGATGGTCCCCACCCCAGGTTATCCAGCCCCAAACGTCAACTGTGCCAAGGCTGAGAAACGTGTTCTACGGCCAGCCCCTCACCCCTCCTCCGCCCTCCCTGTCTCCGCCCACCCAGGGACTGACCACCCAGGAAGCACAGGTGGAACAGCCTCTGGTGCTGACATTGTGCAGAGGGAGGGCTGGGAGGGGCTCGCCCGCCCAGGCAACACAGCTGCCCGCCCGTACCTTCTGCTGGCACCTGGGGCATACCCACACGCCCTTGGGTGCTGTCCTGAGGGGCGGGTCCAGGCAGCTGAGGTGGTAGGCCCCGGGGCAGGCGCCGCAGGGCTGTAGGTTGGCCCCTCGCTTGCAGGCAGCACAGTGCTCATCGTGGGCGATCTCGTTCTGAAAGACGGCAGGTGTGTCAGCCGGGCCGGGACAGGGGTGGGGACCCCGGCGGCTGCCACTCCAACCTGCTTGTGGCCCAGCTCTGGGAGAGAGGGAACAGGCCCGGAACCCGGGAGGAGCAATAGGGTTTTAGGGCACCGATGGGTCACATTTACTGGCGGGCGGGTCGCCGAGCCTGAATCAGACATGGGGTGGCTCCCTGTACCCCAATTCTTCCACTCCGAGACTAGGACTCCAGGTGTGGGTGGCAGGGCAGGGTGTCCTGCCGTGACTTAGCAAACAGCCCCTCTTGGGGTCTGAATTGTACCAGAGACCTAGACCCAGGGTCGGGGCGGGGGTGGGGGGGGGAGGCCGTGCTCACGAAGCTGCCCTCCACAGGGAGCTCACGCGTGCTCTGCTGCGGGGCGGGGCTGTGGCCTGGGACTGTGGTGTACTCGTGTCCACGGCCCTCTCCCGCCCTCTCGACCGACCCCAGCGTCTCCAGAGCCCTGGACTGACTGCACCTCCCGTTCCCACGTCTACACCGGGGCTGACGATACCTGCTCCACAGCTTGGGGGCTGACAGCACAAGGCACACAGCATCACCCGCAGGAGCCCAGCACAGGGCAGCTGGCCCTTCCCTCGGGATGAGGGCACTCCAAATGCCCCTTCTACACAGTCATCATTACTTGGCTGTTCAGTCTCTGCTTACACACCCCCAGGGACAGAGAGCTCACTACCTTTGAAATCTCGGCTGCACTGTGGACAGCCCTGAGTGAGGGGCCGTTCAGAGCCACAACTGTGACCCGTACAATCTGAATGGTCCTCCACCATCCAGGAGAAACCCTTCCCCTGCACGTTATATCTGCTCTCTCTCTGTGTGTCCACACGGCGGGGCGGGGCTGGGGCCTGGGACGGTGGTGTACTCGTGTCCACGGCCCTCTCCCGCCCTCTCGACCGACCCCAGCGTCTCCAGAGCCCTGGAGTGACTGCACCTCCCGTTCCCACGTCTACACCGGGGCTGACGATACCTGCTCCACAGCTTGGGGGCTGACAGCACAAGGCACACAGCATCACCCGCAGGAGCCCAGCACAGGGCAGCTGGCCCTTCCCTCGGGATGAGGGCACTCCAAACGCCCCTTCTGCACAGTCGTCATTACTTGACTGTTCAGTCTCTGCTTACACACCCCCGGGGACAGAGAGCTCACTACCTTTGAAGTCTCGGCTGCACCGTGGACAGCCCTGAGTGAGGGGCCATTCAGAGCCACAACTGTGACCCGCACAATCTGAATGGTCCTCCACCATCGAGGAGGACCTTCCCCTGCACGTTATATCTGCTCTCTATCCGTGCATCAACAGCATCTTCTACCTTCAGAGGCGGAAGGGACCGGAAAGCTCTGATCTGCATGACCCAGCCAAGGACACTGGATCCCAGGGCTGTCCCTGAAGAAGCAGGTGGCAGACTGAGATGAGGCCTTGGAGACCTGTTCTCACCTTGTTTTAGCTCAAGAGCCCAGGGAGGGCGAGCCACTTGCCTGAGGTCACACAGTGAGCTGGAGGTGGAGCCAGGACCAGCCTCTGGGTCTCCTCCCTCCAGCACTGTGAGCTCCACAGGGGTGGGACGCAGGCTCCAGCCATCTCCTGTCCTCACGCCTGCACCGGCGGGGCGCAGGGTGGCTGCCGGGCTCCCCAGCACGGATCTGAGACACTGCAGGGTTTTGTGGCAAACGACATGGCATAACCTGGGTTTATACCCATCACCTACTGCCTCTTAGCAGCTTGACCATTATTACAGGCAGACAGGAACCGGAAAATTCTTTTAGAATTAGATCTCAAACTTAGTAAAGAAAAGCACTGTGTCCATGGCCACGTCACCCTGAACACGTCGATCCTGTCTGACCTCGGAAGCTAAGCAGGGTCGGGCCTGGTGAGTACTTGGATGGGAGACTACCTAGGAAGACCAGGTGCTGTAGGCATAAAAACAAAAAAAAATAAGGGACTGTAAACTGACAAGGTCCTTGCCATCTGTGAGGTCAACCAAGGGTTGCCTCGCCTAAAAAAAAAATTAAAAAAGAAAAGCACTGACTAAATTCTGAGGCCATGCTCTGAAACGCGGTCACCACCGGCCAGTGTCCTGGGAAGCGGGGGCGTGGCGCACGCATGGGACATCTGGGTCTCACAGCATCACAGCAATGCGGGCAGGTGGGGCAAGACCCTGGGGACTATACCAAGTCTAGCACCGTGAGCGGCGAGGACCCGAGAGGGTCACAGCGAGCCAGAGCCCAGCTGGCACCTAGCACTGGCTCCTGCCCTCGGGCTCCATGGCTCCCAGGGTCCCCGCATCCTGAATGCTGAGCAAGGGGGGCCCCTCCTTGAACCTGGGGGCTGGCCTCCCGCGGTGGTGCCTGGAGTGAGACAGCGTGCAAGGCTCTTGGCACCGAGGACAGAGCCCGAAGGCCGTCTGCTCCACTCCAGGGCAGCAGGACACTGGGCCCCGTCGGGGACTCCGGAAAGGAAAGCGCACCTGCCCCCCACCCCCCGGCATGAAGAGGCCGCACGTACCTTCCAGCAGGGGTCCTCATTGGCTGGCACAGGGAAGAAGGGTGGAGAATGTTAGTGGGCACGGGAGGGGCAGCAGTCACGAGCCCGGGGTGGCCGGGGCTCAGCGGGCGTCACGGGACTGCGGGTCTCTGCCTCGGGCATGGTGAGGACCCACCACCGGACAGGCTGCTGCGGCCCCAGAGCTCCCTGGGGAACACGCCAGCAGTCGACGGTGCCGCGGAGGGAGCCACCGCTCCAGGGACCCCTCAGAGTGACTTATCCTCAACTCTTTTTGCCTGTACGTCTCACTCTAGTAGGTGACAGTGAACAAACCACACGTTCGAACGAGCACAAGAAATGGCTTTCCTTTTCGTTTTGGCTCAGACCTGTCTGTAAATCGTACCATCCAGTGGGGAGACCAGCTCCTGTGTGTAGAGAGCACTCCAGAGCTTACATTCACCCCTCGAGTCACTGTCCCACTGAGAGGCAGATGCTGTGACGGCCCATCTCACACCTCACCAAACCGAGACCCGAGAAGGCAACGTCACACGCTGGAAGCCGCACACTCCCAGGAAGCAGGCGGCCACTTCCTGCCCTGAAGACTATTTGTTTTTTCTAATCGGAAATAAAAAGCAACCTGCAGAACGTATTTGTGGATGCGAGTTTCTGGGGCTCTGAGGGCCCGCAGTGGGGCGAGGCTGGCAGAAGGGGAAGGAGCCGTGTGGCCTGCGGGGTCTCGGGTCTGGCCCTGGCCTGCCAGAGCGGGGAGGCAGAGCACCCTGCTTGCCGGAAGGAGCCCGAGGTCCAGGTGGAAGGCCCGGCCCTAGCCACACAGGCGTCAGAGGCAGGGCTGGGCCGAGAAGCTGGACGCCCGCATCCAGCCTGGGTGCTTGTGCTGCCCAGGGCAGGCACACAAGGGTGGTGAGGCATGGGCCGAGAGCCACCGGAGGTACCTCTGCTGCCTGCCCTGGGGGAGGAGAGCAGCTCTCTCCGGGGCTGGGTGGCAGCAGGTGCTGCTTCGGCCGGGCCGTAGGCAGAGGCCACGCAGCACAGGCGAGAGACGCAGATGCTGGGAGGAGCGTGGGTGGGGGAGGCCTCTCCCGCACATGGCCCTCCTCCAGATCCAGGTCCGCCCTGTGGAGGGCAGGTCCTGCCACAGTGGCCTTTGGCACCACTGGGCCTGGTTCTCTGCTCAGGATCGCACCCAGGAGTGAGACAGAGGGGGGCAGTCTGCAGCCCTGGCTCTGAGCCTTGCTGGTGACCCTGCCCGAACTCCTGCTCAGAATCTGAGTTTCTGCACCTGTCTGACGGGCACACACACCCCTGGGCCTCCTCCCCGCAGCGGCGGTGAGGACGGAGGCCGTGGTGAGCTGTGATGCACGGCCCGCCAGAGACCAACGACGTCACTGGTGTGGACGGGGCAGGCCGGGGACTCGGCCAGACAGGGGGCCACCAAAGCCAACCCGGCCCCTGGCCCCAGAGCAGTCCTAGCAGGAGAGACCACAGCCCTGCGGGTACTCACCTCGTGCTGTGAGAAACAGGGGGGTGTTGAGATAGTTGGACGCCAGCCGTTTCCTCTGCAGGGGACAGAAAACAACACCAAACCACCTAGCTGTGTGGAGCCCTCCACAGCGGCACTGCCCGCCCGGGACTCGCCCAGGACGGGCTGCCCACCCGGGCTCCCGGCTCTGGCTAGAAGCAGAGACAGACGCTGGGGACGCAGGACGCAGGACGCAGGGCAGGGGAGAGGCGGATCAGCGGGGGCGAACGTCAGCAAAGGCTCTGCCCCTCACCAGGGCAGAGTCCAACCCTGCTCCCCGGGGGGACATCGGTCCCAGTCAGGAAGGATGCGTTAGGGACCCCCAAACTGGGGCAGATCAGTGACACAGCTGAGAGCTAGTCGTCCCTCTGTCTCCTGCATCTTCTTCCTCGGCCACCTCTGGAGTCAGGTGGGGAAATGAGGGGCATCAGGGGTTGGCTCCCTGACACCCACTTCCTGGCACGTGGCCCAGGAATCCTGGTGGCCACAGCTCCACATGCAGAGGGAAGTTTCCGGTGCATTCCAGAAGGGTGGCTCTACCACCACAGGCCATGCTGGTCCAACCTTGGTGGTTCCTGGTGGCTCTGATTTTTCAGACTGTCCGGGAGCCACGCGGCTGGCCGTCAGCTGCCTCTCCGGATGAGGTCGGGCTGTGCCGAGGGCCGGGGAGGGCCCGCGGAAGGCTGCTCTTGAGGCTGCGTGTGTGTCCAGGGCCAAGGTCATAGAGCTTTGCGCTATGGCTCTCGGTTTGCTGATCGGGTCATGTCTGACCGGGCCGCAGACCGAAGACCAGGGTGTGGCTGTGCACATCCAGGGAGCAGCGGGTGGCTCCACCAAGGAACACGGCAAAGGGGACAGGGACCTTATCGTACGGAGAACCCACCATCTGCTTGGGTGGAGGTCGAGGAGCGACTCGGGGACATTCTTGCAAGTGGAGCACCGTGTTCGAGGCGCCCCGACTTGGGCGGGTTTGCCCAGAGAATCGAGGAGGAAGCGGACGGGTATAAACCCGCACACGCGGCGTGCTCCGCGGCAGCAGTGGGCTGGGCGAAGCTGGAGGCCGCCGGCGTGGGGGGCTCCAGCCACCGCTCCCCGGCGGAGCCCCCTCCCGGTGCACCGGACAAGTCGGGGCCGCTGGCCCAGACTGACCAACACCCCGGGGAGGCACTTTTTTGACCCTCCAGGCCCTGTAAAGCCTCGAGGGCAGTGACAGTTCGTCCGGAAAGTGGCAGGCACTGGCCTCTGGGGACACTGCTCCGCTGAGGAAGGCCGCCCCTAAGAAAACCGCTTTCAGTCTGGGGGACGATTCCTGGGTGCTGCTCTCCGCTGCCTGTGACAGGCGACATGCCTGATAATCACGGGGCCCTGCGGCCAAGCCTGGCGCCCCGAGCAGCTTGCGTGAGGAAGACGACCACATTCTGGTCTCCTGCACCGTCTCTCAACGGATTCCGAACTCGGGGTGAAGAAAGGCTGCGGTCAAACCCCGACTCCCATCCCAGGAGGGCGGGCGAGGGAGCCGCGCAGGGACCGCCCCCCACCCCGGGGCCCCAGCGAAGGCGGGGCCTCACCTCCGTCTCCAGGAGGCCGCTGTAGGCGGGGTTGGCTGTGCTTCTTCTCTTCCGCTCCTGGCGCTTGCTCTGGATTTCTGGAAAGGCACAGACGCAGCAGTCACTGGATCCTTCCTGCCCTGGACACCACCGTCCCCTCCTCCCTCGTGGCCTCTCCGTCCGCATGGCACCCACGCCCGCAGCAGCCCCAGGCGGGTTGGGGCCTCCAACCATCGCTTACTCCGAGGCAGGACAGATCTGCCGGCCTCTGAAGGACCGATGGGCAGGAGGGTGGCGGGTACTAAGATCCAGGTACCCGCTCTCAGCGCGGGGTTCTATGTGCCATCATCCAGCCCAGGACTCTGGGGACAACACACGCCTGTTGGTCAGACGCTGGCCTGGCTGGGGAGTGGTGAGGCTCCGGGCCTCTGGGGCAGCCTGTGCTGCTCCGGTAGACAGACCCTTCCAGGGCAGGTGTGGTGCGTGCTTCACGCAGTGACAATGACCGCTGCATGACGTCTGTCTCCTCCCTCTCTCTCCCTGCGTCTGTCTGTGCGTCTCTCTCTCTCCCTTCTGCTTCGTCTGCCAGGTGGGACCTGTGGCCTGCTGTTGTATATATTGCTGTTTTGACATTATTTTCTAACCTCTGTCTCTTGGACCTGAGTTCTCCTTTTAAACTTTTTCAGTGTTATTTGTATGTTTCCTGAAGGCACCTCAGACCCTCTGTGGAAGAAGACAGGGTCCAAACAAATAACTGTTTACGGTATCGTGCGTGAGGGGGGGGTTCAAAATGAAGACTAATAAAAATCATAACAATCGCAAGTATATTAGCAAAGCGCTCAGACCTCAGTGTCTACATCAACCGTGCAGCGTGAAGATGCAGCCTGCCCCGTGCTGCAGACGAGGAGGCTGAGACTCACGGGAGGGAGGGAAGGGGCTCCCCCAAAGTCGCCAGCTCTGAGCGGCCCAACTAGGACCTAAACACGCCCTCTGACCTCTGCTGGGCACTGTGGTGTTCGTCCATTTCCTCTGCCGCTTCGACTTTTAGACAGAAAAGCAGACTAGTCTTCCCTCCCAAAGCCAGACTGTCCTGCGTGGGGTTGGTGGGGGGCGGGGGGTGTTTGCACTTTATAAAGCATCTTTAGCCGGTGAGGTCGGTGCCGTGGGAAACATGGGCTGGGGGTCAGGAGACCTGGACTCCAGCCTGGGCCTGGGACCGACTGGCTGTGTGACCCCGGGCAAGTGAGCCAGCCTCTCTGGTCTCAGCGTCACGAGCGCCACGAGAGGGCCGGTTTCCTTGCTTCCCAGCCCTGAGCGTCTGTGGCGATGGTCACGGCTGATCGGCAATGGCCCTTGTCAGGAAAGCCACACAGCGCCTGTAGGCCACACCCACCTGTCGCTCAAACACAGAAAGGCTCTGATTTCGACCGATGCAGACAGGAGTCCACAGGACAGCAGGGGAGGTGGCGTGCTGGGCATGCCCTACCCACGAGGACGGTTCGGTCATTGCCCCGCTTTACGGATGGAGAAACTGAGGCACAGAAAAGCTAAGTAACTTGCCCAGGCTTAAGCGCTCATGAAACGGGAGCTGGGTGGCCTCCTCCAGCACCACCGTGCCTCCGCTCTGGGCGAGGGGACCCACGTGGCCCCTCCCGAGAAAGGAGGAAGCACCCCACCGGGTTTCCCGCTATCAGGCAGGGTGGGGGAGGGGCTCTCTTTGTTGCGACCGCTCCTGAACCGGGGGCGCCCAGAGACCCACTGCATCGGTCTGATGCCAACTCACCAGACCGCCCGGCCCCCACCCCACCCTGTGAGGCGGCCCCGGCCCTGGCCCTGCCAGCCCGCACGCAGACGCTCACCTTCCAAGTGCTCCGTGGTGACCAGACCTAGCGCCACCATGAAGGCGATTTTCTGAGGGGAGGAAACAGGAGCGTTACACATGGCCCTCCTCAGGCATTCATTCGTTCATTCATTCGTTCGTTCGTTCATTCAGCGTTTGCTGAGCACCTGCTCACGCGGCCGGCTTACCTGTCCTGGTTTCCTTAGTTTGAATCTAAGGGCCTTTCTCTGCCCGGACCCCACTCAGCAGCCACGTTACATGTAGTCGCTGTGTCTCCTCGGCCCCCGGGCTGTGACGGTCCCTCAGACTTGCCCTGTTTCTGCTGACCTTGGCAGTTTGGGGGACGACTGGGCAGGTATTTATTTTGCAGAATGTCCAGTTACTGGATTTGTCTGACGGTTTTCTCAGTGACACCGGGGTCGTGGGTTTTGGGGAAGGACCGCGGGGGTGAGGTGCCCTGCCCACCACGTCTATCAGCATGATGTTGGCCTTGGTCACCTGGCTGAGTTGTGCCCGTCAGGCTTCTCCACTGTGACGTCCGCCCTCCCCGTTCTGCCTCTTTGAGAGGAGGTCACAAGGCACAGCTCACACTCACAGACGTGGGAACTAGGCAACACTGGGTCTTTTTTATTATTATTATTATTTTTGGACCATGTAAACTTTCAAAAATGTGTATGTAGCAGAATTTATCAATATTTTCCTTTGCAGTTTGGATTTTTTGACTCTTGGCTAGAGACTCTGAGGTTATAAGAGTTGCTTGTGTTTTATTTTAGTACCTACGGTTTCACATCTTACATTTAAATTTTTGATCCATTTGGAACTGCTCTTGGTGTATATGGTGTGAAGTATGGATTCATTTGTCCAGATGACTACTTATTTGTTCTGCTACCATTTATTGAAAAGTTCCTCTTGCACTGACTTAAGAAGCCACTGTAATCATATAAGTTACTGTACGTGTCTGTCTACGTATTTGCATCTTTTTCTGTGTCTTCCATTCTGCTCCTTAAATCTGCCTGTCTAGGCACGAGCGAGTGTGCGGGTTTCATAGCAATCCCGTCAGGTCAGAATCCCTTCCCCGTGTGCCTTGGCTCTCCTAACTTCTTCACGTGAAAGTCAGAAACCATCTGAAGCAGTGACGAGAATGAGGGGATCACTTGGTATGTGCACTGAGACGATGTTAAAATTAAAAATTAAATGAGGACATAATGACAACCTTATAACATTACATTTTCCTCTCCAAACCACGCTGAGCCTCTCTGTTCTTTTTGTCTTCAAGGGGTTTAAATGTTTCAAGGGGGTGCTGAATGCTATTTTTATGATGACTCCTAGGCATTGAATCGTTTTGTTGCTGCAGTAAATGGGGTTGTCTACAAAGCTGCTAACAGGTGTCTAGGTATTTCTGTAAAGGCGACTGGCATCTGTGCGTTGGTATTACACCCGCGGCCATGCCGAATTCTCTGACTGTCGACAGGAGGTTTTCATCAGTTCTCCTGGGTATTCTATGTTATCTCAAATAGTGACTGTTCACTCCTTTCTAATTTTGCATTTCTATGCCGTTAAAAATAGTTCTCGATTCGCCAGCTTTAAATGATATTCTTTGATTCGTTTAAAGTCCCGACTACGACAGACAAGACCACCTGAAAGATTATGCCACCTCCCACCCTCTCTCCCTCCCTCTGCCAACTTCCCTTAGATGAGTCTTTTACCCATTTTCGGAATGCGTCATTGTTCGACTTGCTTCTTTAGCCGATTTCGGTTTTACTCTGTAGTTAATTAAATGAGGTGCCTGCTTCGGTGTTCCTGCCAGGGGCTCTGGTTGTCTCGTGGTCGAAGGTGGTTGAGCCTCTAGTAGTTTCTCGTGAATGGCCCATGGGAGCCCCATTTCCTGAGTTCTTGACAGATTTTGTCTGTCGCCCTTCAACTTGAAGGCCAGCTTGGCTGGACAGAAAATCCATGACTCTTTGTCTCCTTAGGATCTAGCAGATGTTGCTCTGCTGTATTCTGCCTCATCGTTCTCCCTTTAAAGTCACCTGGTTGTTTTTTCTGGACACCTAAAGGACCCCTTTGGTTTCCATTGAAAGTCAGTGGCTCTACTGGGTTGTGTCTCAATGTCGACTGACCATTTCCCCCGGTATACACGTCAATGTTTCCTGGTGCCTAGTGTGTCGTGCAATATGTAAATTGAAGTATTACTTCAGTAAACTTTTCTTGAATTATATTTTAAAAACACCAAAGCATCACCCCATCAAGAGGAGTGGAATCTATAAAATTCAATCCTATCAGATGTTTGCTGTCCTTAATGCAGGACTAGGACTGAAGACATGACGAAGGTGGCCGCAGAGCCGCTGGAATGTGAATTCTGTGGCTTTGGCCAGTGGATAGCAATCCAGGGCTCGGTGTGGTGCCGCCTGGTTTCCATATCATTTCTGGGCTCTGTGGCTGACTGGGCAGTGGCCGGGACTCTAGGAGGCCCCCAGGACTGACACCCGCATCACTGACCTGATTTGGGAAGGCTGGGCTGGGCAAATACGGGGGCCGCGGAGCCTCTGGTCCTGCCTCCTGGTCCCATCAGGCTTCTGCTCCCTCCCCACTTCCTCTGCAGAGGATAACTTCAAGCTCAGTTGAGGACAGGTAACAGGTAGATCACAGGGGCCAAGTGCCCGCGTTATAGCCAAATTCACATCGTCGTGGGGGAGCCTGGGAGCTTCACTGTACTTACTCTGCTCCATCATCCTGGTGTTCTTATTTGCAGCCTCCAATTATCTATGCGTTGTGTCTTCTTTGCTTGTCTTCTGTAGATACCACTTTCTAATATTCAAAAAACTCATTTTTTTTGTTTACTTTTCTTACTTCTGCCTTCTTCGTCCCTTGCTGTACTGTACCTAGAGTACCGTGTGCTTATCCAGTTACACACGTATTTCTGTGATGGTTTTTGTTGTTCTTTTCCTAAAGAATTCCAGCTCATGTTTCATTCTGCACAGTGCTTTGGCCACTGAGCCATCTCTTCCCTAAGTCCCTGTGGATGTGTCAAATTTGCCTTATAACTCGGCCACCATCCCCCTTGATGGATGTCCCTTTAGTATACACATAATACGTCTTCTCTACTCCTGCATTTCAACCTTTCTGTGTGGTTTCGATTTGGGTGGACCTCTTACAAGCACCGTACAGTCGGATCGGGTTATTTTCACGTCTTCGCTCGCTTTTTATTTCTGCTATTTTTAAGAGCAGAACCCTATTTCATTTGTATCGTGGTTGTCGATTATCTCTGGACTTATTTCCTCCCCTTTATTCTGTATTTTCAGTTTGTCATCCTTTCTTTCTACCTCCTTTCCTATCTTCTCGGGGGAAAAAAAAAAGTCCCGCATTTACTTCTTTTTCCTTTGCTGATATGAAAATGACAGGTGGCATTTCATTATTTTTAGTAATTATCCTAAATATTTTAAACATATGTTCTTAACCATACATTTTTCTAATGAAGTCTAAGGTTATTCAATATTTCTATCCTTCCCCAAATGACACTGAACTGACCATGTTCTAACTTCCTCTAAACATCTCTGCCAAACCTGTTCAAGTTGCCTAGAATTTTCCTTTTACCTGTTTTGAAAAACAAAACTGGTGATTTTTTGTAGTCTATGCTTAAATAAATTTACCTGTCATTTAACAATTCCTGTGCTCACTGGGGCTTCTTACACCCACTGCTCTGGCCTGGCTTCACTGTCTTGCCAAAGCACAGTTCTTGTCATGATGGTTTTGTGAGTGATAAAACTCTTAGTCTTTCTATGTCCAAAAATGTCTGTATTTTGCCCTGGCAACATAATTTAACCAGCTATAAAAGTTCCTGGCACGACCCTGAGTGAGGCATTTGGCTGCTCCGAGCCTGGGGTTTGCATATCCTAAAACAGGAACACTGTCCCCTCTCCGTGGGTGGCTGTGGGGGTTCAACACGAGAGCCACACGGGCGTGCGTCCCACCTACACCTGATGCAGACTGGGCGGGTGAGGTTGTGCCCGATCCCCGGGGACCCCCGGGTGTAGGGTCATGTGGTGTCCTTCAGGAGAGAGTGGGGCAATCTCAACCCTAAAAAAGGAAGTTATAACAGGTCCTTCAGAGAAGGTTTTGACCTTGGTCATAGGAAGAGCAGAACACACCTGAGATTAGCACTAATTGTAGATATCCACTAAAAAGATATCCACTAAAAAGATATCCAGAAAAAAGATTTGTAGTGCACATACATACACAACACATTTCAACTGAAAACAGCATAAACAAGAAGGGGGAGACACTGAGGAAAATACGATAGACGCGGATAAGGTCCGGCTTCACACTGCAGGCCAGAGGCCCTGGACGATTGCTGAGGTGGGTCACAGACTGGGCTGTGAGCTCCCCAGCAGCCAGAGCAAATAGGGAGACAGAGTCTCTGGAATCTCTTGGAAGTAAGGGTGGGGAGGCTGAGACCGGCCTTGTGACCTCCTGGGAAGGTGATCGATAGGGACCTTTTCAAACCAATCATC